TGTGATCCAGGCAGTTTTCRATAATAGCCAAAGATGGAGATTATCCAGTTGAGGACAGGATTTGAGGTTGATAAAATAGCTTGTGCTTTACAACTAAAAAAAGTATCTTCACYGAGCTTTACATAAGTTAATCAACAACAGTAGAGTTTTCCCTGACTTTACCCACTGAGATATCTGGAAAACTATATATGTGCATGAATATTATTAAAGTAACAGTATATTCTGTTTTGATGATTTTTTTTTGAATGAAGCTAAACTATTGATCTATAAAGCCAACACTATTTCTTACCATTCTCATTGACAGAGATGTAGCAAAGAATTTCCTTAGTAAATTTAGATTACAGTATGCTTCAGAACTGAGGAGAAGCAGTAATTACTCTTCCATGTAATTTTGTTGCCATGAATGGCTCAGGTACTCAAATACGGGTTCAGTCACACTCTYCAAGATTCATGCCAGAGTGTGCAGCATGGGACCTTCTAAGCTATTGAACTAAGCCTTTTTGGTCAGTCTGGAAAGTATCCTAAGGCTTTCAGTCTTAATTCCAGGATTATTTTTTCCTGTCTGAACTTTCCCTTCTGCTTCTCTTTTGTTTGCTATTAATGCTTCATCTCTTCTGGGAGGATGATTCACAGTTAAGCAGCTCATTCGTTCTGAGAYGGTCAAAAACATAGCCCTTTGGGTAGGCCAGCAGGCATGGCTGTAACCCTTGCGCTGTTAAACCCTTGTCTTTCCTTAGGGGCTTTGCAGTCTCTACTGTGCTCTGTTATACAATTACCAGCAAACCATCAGGCCAGATGCAGACATTAGCACCATCAACAGAACTGGAGAAAATGAAGCATGGGCTACCTAATGAGCAGCTTGTTTACATAAATATACAACATAAGAGAAAAACCTACAACTTTGAACACAAATGAATATTAGGCAGGTACAGACACCAACATTCCTATACTTAAACCTCTTCATCAGATTTAACATTTTGTCCTTCTGTTTTTTAAGTACTTTAGCCTGATAAGCTACTTCAATACTTAACTAGCTAGTTGAATCTTTCAGTGAAGTCCCCTGTTTTATAATCCCAAATTAGAGGTTACAGCTGCCACCCTGTACCTATGCACTGGATTCTGGAATATACCTGACTTCAGTTGTTCAATCTGAAGCTCAAATGAAAGCTGCAGCATACCACACTAATTCTGTGCTGAGGGTCTGTTTTAGCCTTTAACAAGTTTTGGACATCCATTTTCTCCTCACCTTGTTGGTTTCTTCTGTCTTAGCATTATTAGATTTACAAGCTGACACTTGTTTTATTAGGCAGTATTTTAAAATAAAATTTCCAAAGATTGAATTCACAGTCTTTTTGCCCATTAACGTGTCTCCTGTAGCAAGGACAGAGCCTTACAAGTTTCTATACACATTTTCATTTATTTATTAAATTCCCCTTTATTAACTGCGAGCTTGAGGTTAAGTCATCTCCTTTTTGAAATAYACTAATGTACTGGCTTTCAGATTGATTCTCTTACACTCACATAACCCATATAACTGTAATATTTTTCCTGCTCAGAAGTTTTAGCATGGATCTGCACATTATCCAGGCTGAGAAACTGTTGATGAAAAGGTACCAACATGTGGTTACTATTACGATTCCTTCCCACAGGGATAGGAAAATATGTTCATTGCAAATCAGTCACCTACGAAATACATGTCTTGACRAGAGAGATTTTAAAGGTAATTACCAAACACTAATTTTGCAAGTCACTTTTCCTGGCATTTATTAGTTATCAGCCACTGTCAGGTCATCTACCAATTCAACTAGCCAGTCCTCTTAGGCTAGCTCTCAAATCTTCAAAAATTGATTTTTACATCTAGCTCATATTTTGTGGAATATGTACTTAACCACTCACTCCTCTGACAGGATTTAAACTGCAAATTTAATACACTTAGCCTACTTAACCTTCATATGCCCAGACTAAAAGATATCAAAATTTAAACCACTTTACAATTATTGTGTGTTTCCCAGTCCCAACAAAATATTTATAAGATCTGTTCATATTAATAAGATGATCAGAACTCAGCTTTTATCACTACGTGCATTTCTATATGAGACTATGAGTGCAGATGTAGGTCCCGTTTATACAGTAGCCATTAGGGAACAGTAAAGACTGGCAGCACCTTAGCCAAGGGTGATGGCTATGCAGGCTGGTGGTGAGCGCGCAGACCAGGCAAGCCAGGCAAGCAGCAGAGATGGCGGCAGCATCAGGTCTATTTCCTGTCCAGCAGTCATCAGACAAAAGCTAGGCAACAAGCCAGGACCAAGGTCAACACGAGACACCCAACCAATAACTCAGCAACAGGACACAGAGAAGACACAGCTACGACAGCTCAAGGGGGATTGAACGCTGAGGTCTGGACTTAGTACAACTCCTGGGCCAGAGGCAGAGAGGTCCTTCTTAGGAACAATTAAGGCCTGCTGGGGTGCTCWGGACCCTGCCTGTACAAATCCATCTAGGCCATGAGTACTTTTACTGCTATGATGATTGTAGCCATAAAAGAAAAGGCAAAATGCCTGTGCAAATGATGGACAGAAACAGGTCTGTCTAAAAATCTCTGCTTCAAATTACAATCCTCTTTGYCTTTATGCACATTAGATAAATATTTATACTTACAGGGCTCTTAAGACGTCCCCATGAGGGTATTAAGGTCCTTCTTTGTYGTGGATGACCTCCCTCCTTTTCCCTGCTGCCATGTGGAAAGTTGTCATCCTATAGCACAGATTGCCTCCTCCTCCCCAAGGCAATCTGAGTTTGAAGGGCTGTGGACAGCTTAGGATCGATAAATCAGATCACTGCGAGGATTTATTGTGTGCTGCTTGAACGTGCTGGACTGGGATCTTACTGTCTCTCTCTCAGATTTGGGTGGATTTTCTTAAGCCTTATTTGCACTTGCAACTTGCACTTGCAACTTGGAGCCAGTTGATAGTTGGCATCAAATGTTTGCCTCCTGTCCTCATGATCTGGATATCTTCTGGTGATCACTTCTACAGAAACACCTGATTCCATGTACTCAGATTAATATTAGAAAAAAATCCTTCTCATCTCCCCAAATGTTTCTTTGACTTAATGCAACASTGATAAATCTTCTGGAAATTTTCCCATAAATGTTCACTGCATTTTGTATTCACTATTTGGATGAAATATGGATGGTTTTGGATGGAAATATGGTTTCTCCTCTCCATCCTCTCTGGGGAGCAAAAGGGAAGGAAAGGTATTGAAAATTTTCTCTTTCCCAGTTTTCTGACTTGTTTTTTTCAGCCCAGCACCTGGCATTGCTGTTGYTCTGCAAACTTGGAGGTCTTTTTGAGAGAAAAGTTCAGGCTTTGGATTYCTCAATGAGCATCATTTCCAACTCTAAAAAGTTAAAAATTGCTATATTATGTCTCCATTTGTCCACAACTCCCTGAAAACATCCTGTATAACATTTTTAATGATAAAGTTACCAAGTACCTATTTGATCCTTTTTAGCCATTGGCCATGAGGTAGTTTTTGAATCAACATTAACTGTTTTCGGTGCAGCACGTTTCATCTCCTCTTTACTTCTTTTTGAAGGGTCTCCAGTCTGTTTTTGACCTTACTTGTACTTTGTAACTCTTTCAAGTCATCTATTACTATCTTTTTCTCAGCTTTCTTCAACCACCTGTGCAAAATGCTCCTCCACAGCCCTGCCAGAGTACCAACAGTTCGAGGGCTCTCTTTTTGATACGTAGACCCTTTTTTTTTTTTTTTTTTT